ACTCAATTTATTGATCTTTATAGAAAATAGTTACTCACGTGGCTGTCTTGTTAAAATATAATCAAAATTCACTATCTCAGTGATTAAATATTTTACTTATAATTACAATGATGATATAAGAAGAAAAAAAACAAAAAAAAACAAAGAAGATTTAACAGCAAATGAAATAGGTTCGATTCCAAGAAGAGAGTTTAAGAATTATCGAAAATAATTGCAATTTGGAGAAAGCAACAAAGTGTCTTGAAGGGAAAGTGCCGATTCAGAACAACCTCAGTAAAATGAGAAAGTGGTATCCGGTTGGTGAAAGCATAAAAAAAAAAAAAGAAAGAGAGAGAGAGAGAGAGGAAAGAGGGGAAATATAAACTTGAAATAAGTAAGATGTATTATGAGGATGAGTAGGATAGATATTTGGTTGTCAGGGAAGCATTCTCTCAGAAGTTTGTGCCACAAAATAACAGTTCTGGTGAAAATGATGTCTTGGTGGAACTTATTAAATGAACACAAAGAGAATGGGAATGGCTTACCACCGTGAACATGGCATTTATAAAAGATAGACAACAGGAGTTAGATTTTTTTTTCATTCCACCAGAAACTAAGAATAGTAGGTTGGGAAGAAAACAGATGGAAAAATATTGGAGTATTTGATTGCATTAGCATTCATTTTTCCATCTGGACAAACTTCTCAAGAATACCCAATACTGATGTAATATCGCATACTATAATTTAACTCTCGTTGTTAGGCTCTGTCGAAGCAGTTTTTAATGAGTTTCAATCTCTTCTTGCTACTTTTCTAAAAATTTTCTTTCTTTGTACCTTAGGAAAAATATCAGAATATTAAAACCAAAATATTTTGATCTCACCTTTAAAAAAAAAAAAAAATTTTCTACACGCCTCAAATTGTCAGACAAAAGAATTGCTTTCAAACAAATCTAGACAATCAGTCTCTCAACGAACCAATTATAAATTGCTTGAACACATCATCTTTGTTCATAATTTAGCAAAGAGTATTTGCTTTGGGCACACCTGAATCAGTCGGCGTGAGAGAATACATTTATAATTTGACAGAGAATCAGAAGTTACTTTATAAGGAAATAACTTACCACTTATTCATTACTTTGGCAGCTGCAGTTAACGAGCTGTCGTGAAGTAGTTTTCATTGTGAATCTGTATTGTTGAATCTAGAAGACCAAAGAAGTTACGCCGGAGAAACAAGCAAATTTTAAATTTTCATCTGTAATCGCAATGTAACCAATACAAAATACATTCTCTTGACATTACTTCAAAACATTCTAAAGAAATGAAAATATTTCAAAGGAATTCATTTTTCATGGTAACGATTGAATAATCTCTAGAAGTTAATAGGCTTAGTCTCTGAAATATTTTGTGCCAAGAGAGGATCCTGGTAAAGACATCTAAAATGTATAGATGGTGAAGATCTGTTTAAGATCAAAGAGTCACACATTTTTAGATGCGGACGTAGCACATGTTAACAGTCAAACTGCCTCCACAAATGCACTAAAAATGTATAAACTATTAAATATACCATAGATTGTGACAATTTTAACTTTACACGTCATTAAGATTGTTTATTCATCTGAAAAGAAATGGCTGTTTTTTAGCTGTTGATTTTAATCTCGAACCTTAATCATGTAATTTTTTTTCTTGGAGTCGTTACACTAAGAAAAAAATTACGTGACAATATGAATATTTTAAAGTCAATTATTCTATTGAGAATATAACGCTAAAAAAAATATCAGTATTCATTAATTCTTCCTCGAGATACAGTTTTTGCTTCTACACTTCGCCAAAGGACGTCACTAATTGATCCAGGGTTTAAATTTATAAGAATCAGAAAACTAGGTTGACCAATGTTTTTGTTTCAGTTAAGTGATACACGTTTTCAATACACGACTGATGAGACAGTATATTGCTATTCCTTTCTGCGATAGACTGGTTGCCAACCAAAGCTAAAGAACCCAGTCTGTCCTGCTATTCAAACCATAGCTGGGAGAGAAGAGATGGATTCTTACTTTTCCCAAAGGTATTTGTGTAGTATAAATGAATATAACAAACTTGACCGAGATTTGAATTCTTGTTACGAGGTTGGATTGAAATTTGGAGCCATTAACCTAATGTCGATCCCCCCCCTCCTAATCGAAGGTTTCCATTTCTGTTTGGGGTGATTTTCCTGTGTTCATTATTCGAATTGTCTTTCACAGCAGATAGTGACCGCACTTCTCTTTATGTATGATCAACCATACACATTACAGCTTTTTGATATTCTTAGCTTTAAGGGACAACTGAGCTCACTTTTATACTTTCTACTAAAACATCATGTATGCACTACATTCTGTTATATTCTGTTCCAGTTGTAACTTGACTCTAGTCAGCTGTATCCAAAGAAAGGATATGCTTTTGAATATTCCTCTTCTAGTACTGTATTTCTATTAATGGAAGCTGATGTTTTGCTTGTAGGATAGTCGTCGTTATGAATAATGTTCCTATTATTGAACATCTTCTGTGTCTAAGTAGTCAGGTAGGCATTTTATTAGAGGTTGTTACAGGTAACGGACAATTAATCTATGTATACAGTGACATGACCAACTTTTAAACAAGATTATAAAAAACTAAAATGTTTGCTATTAAGCTACCATTAGTACTGTTGTACACAGCATTAATACTGTGAGGTTTTCAAGAACCTCATTTAAAATATAGACATATCATTTTCTTGTTATATATTCATTCCCTTTTTATGGGACTAATTGAAAAACCAACACACACAAAAAAAAAAAAAAAAGGTTTTTTTTTAAAAACTAGAATTAAAAGGCCAATATTAATGAACTGAGAAATAATTCAAAAACAGATTTCATTTCATTTACAGTAAACAAATATAATTCACAAAAAATATTCTAAAACCAGTAATTCTTGTTACTTGACAGAGGTATTCAGAAATGTTACAACAGAAAATTTGAACCAGTTAACATCAACCACTTTATTAGTTCTGAATAAAGCATACAAGATCCAAGTCAGACCAGAATTCACCAACTACCAACGAATGGAGGGTGAATTCAACATCACTAAACAGCTCCTTAATGAATGTATATTCCAATAAATGGAAGACATAATAGGACACCTTCACATATGAGCAGCTATGCTCGGCAGCCAAATGACAAATTTTCAACACCTCAGCTGAGCATAAGACCTCCAATGGCGAAATGATTAGAAATTGACAGACTTTGCAGGCTGACTCGAAAACACTTCAAAAAGCTGCCATCCTTACTGTCGACACTGCCTTTTCTCTAATGGGAACTATGCTCATAAGCAAGAAAAATCAAAACCTGGATAATCACCATTTACACTCACCTCAAGACTATAAATAATCACTACTCAGCAAGCAGTATAGCCCCCAAAAATTGAAGTCATATACATGCACACATATATAAGGGCCTTGTAAATTATTCCAAAAGAGGGGGGAATAGTCAAAATATAGAAATATATAAAAATGTCAAGATTTACAAGAGAACTAAAATTTAAATATGGCCACAGTAGATTAAGACAAAATATTTTTTCATCTGCTCCCCCTCTAACAGAGGTTTTGCCTACACCTGTCAATGGTAGAGAAAAATGAAGAGTATACAGCTCAATCATTTTTACATTGTATCAAATATGAAGAGATAGAATGACTAAAGCTATTTAATTATAATCTCAGTTAATAAAAAGTTTTCTTTTTGTACAGAAAGAAAAAAACATTTACAAAATAGTTATCTTATGAAATTTGTATTTTATGTTCATGACTTTCTACAGGTTCATATTTATTATCTGAATTACCATGTCTTGTTAGGAAAGATAGTGAATTGGTTTCTCATTGCCTTCTCCAGTTCTGAATTCAGGGTACTTCTCGTTGGCTGCCACTCAAAGCTATAGTCCAATCTACCTTCTATTTAATCCGTAGGAGTGAGAGAGAAGAGAAAAAAAGAGATGGATTCACACTCTTGCTGATAGAATTATTGTAAAAGTAAACAACAAAGTTGGAATTTGAACTCGGATTGCAAGTTCCATTTTCTGCACCGATAACTATTACATAACTTACATTTTTACAAGTACGAGTAATCAATTATGACTGAATAGTGAGTTCAATCCTCACTAGGTAACATAATTTTGGCCTTGTGCTACATATAAGCTACACTTAAAAAAAAATCATCATACAAGTATTAGTAATGTAAGTTACAGATGTTTACATTTCACAAAACAAAATATAAACCTGGCTCTAAAATAACAGCATTTTATGTCATTTTTCAATTTGCACTTTTACTAAGAATATTCAGTTTTTGGTATAAATGTCTTTTCTATACAGTCTTTTTAGATTTCTCTACTCATATTTACACTTTACTGCAGTTTTAGCAGAAAATCTTACAGATAATGATTCTGCTCTTACTGAAATTTATTTAACATATGCAGAGAAAAACTATTAGTTAGTTCAAAAAATAAGTGAAAATCATTTCCCTAATTAATTTCAAATAATCAGTAAGAAAATGAACAAATCATGTCAAATACAAATATGAAATGAAAGAATGTTAAAACAAAAACCAGGCATCTTTCAGAAGAATTTTTGAGCAGAAAATCAAATTAGTCAATTAGTAAATAGTCTTCAATCAAATAACAAAATTACACACATTCAATAATAGCAAAAATGTATGTCATTCAGATGTGCTCCCAGAGGAAAACAAAAGTTAAGTAAAATTTCCAATTTTGATTTATTAAAATTGAGAAACTGATAGCTACATGGAAAAAATTTACAACTGTATCCAAAAATGAAAACTGGGGTTCATATTGCCGCTGCTGTTATTATTTTTATTAATAATAATACAAAGATCTACTTAAAAAAGCCTTCACTGATAGGAATAATACAAGACTGGCCATCACTTTCTCACCAGCAGTCCACATAAAAATCTAAATAAAAGTCATTTATGTAAATTTATTTATTTTTTTTTTTTTAAAGCTTAGTTGTCTTGATAATCATCATATCCATCTTCAATTTTCTGCTGATCCTGTGGAGGAAGTGACTGTTGTGGTGGCTGGCTACCATTAGGCATGCCATAATGCATACTATGATCACCAGGACCTACCATTGGTCCCATCATTGGATAGCTTGGATGCATGTCATAGCCAGGATCTATAGGTTCTTGTTTGATTTCTCTAGGCATAATAGCCTCATCATCATAGTTGGGAATTGGAGGTGGGGGAACATCCCCAGCATTTGGTTCAAGTTTTTCTCCAGCTCTGCCACGCTCACGGGAACGTCTGCGTTCTCTGCTGCGGCTTCGCCTACTGCCTCTACCTTTGCGTTCCCTTGATCTACTCCGTCTGCGCTCACGTGATCGGCTGCGGCGACGCTTACGATCTTTCACACGGACTTCTTCTTCACCTATTATGAAAGGAAGAAAAAAAAAAAAAAAAGTAGTCACATTTTTTCAGCCCACAAATAAGTTCAATAATTACCACTATGACTGTACCAAATTGACTACTTAAGAGTAAAATTTGCTCTCACAAGTTATTATAGCAAAGTTTTCCGCTACTGACATCCAACAATATTATGAACAAGACTGTCCTCTTTATTTTTCCAGGAGATATCGGAAAAAGGGATGCTCATAGCCAACATGTCTGTGGCAAGGTAGAAAAAGCACTTAGGTAAGATTTTATAAGTTAGCAGCAGTAGCTTTTGTGGTTAAGTTAACAAGTAACTAACATATGGGTTGAAAGAATTGCTGCACCCACCGATTTTCAACTTTTTTCCTGTCTCTTAACTGATGTCAGGAAGGCATGGACATATGGATACCTTGATAACCTAAATGTAAAGTTTTGGAGATTCCTTTCTTTTTTTTGCTTTCTCTGAGAGAAAGATAGAGAAGATTTACAATTAGGAAATCTCTCTTAATAAAAGGAAAAGACAGAAGTGAAAACCAGTGATGGTTTACATTAAGCCATGGGTGGTATGCAAATGGAACTGTCACTCACTCAGTTATATGATCAAAACAAAATTACACAATTTTAAGAGGAGACAGACACCTTTTCTGTCAATCTCTTTATAGATGACTGCAGCTGTATAGACAGAGGTGGAGCATGGGGATTATATATATATATATATATATATATATATAAAAAAGTTATTTTTATGACTGTCCAAAGCCATAAATCCAATGCTTAAATACCCCCCCACTAATCTACTGTACAAAATTCATAAAAAAAAAAAAAAAAAAAAAAAATCATCAATCATAGACATTGCACTTGTTGACTGCAGCCTGGTATAAATAATGACCTTCTGAAAGTTTCTCTTCTCTGTCTCTGCTTCTTCTTCTCTCTCTGCTTCGGCTACGGCTACGTGCACGACCTCCTCTTTCACGACTTCTACTTCTTCTCCTCTCTCTGCTTCGGCTCCTGGCTCGACGACTTGGCCCACCAGCACCTCCTGCACCAACACGTTCCCTTTCACGACTCCGCGAACGCTCACGGCCACCAGCCCGTTCATCACGGTAACTGAGAAGAGAGAAAAGCATAGTCAGTGTTATATATATATATATATATATATATAAAAAAGAAGACATTTGTTTTAAATAATGATAATAAATTTTTGAATACTATCAGAATTATTTAGACTAAATTTTCACTTTAGGAAATCCAAAATTGTTGCTTGTAATTTGTTAATGTCAGATTTTCTGACATATCTACAAACAACACACAGCCACTTCCTCTTTTGCTGACAAGTTGTCACTCAACTCTTCCTTATATTAATGGAAAGATCATCACAGTCAAAGACTGCTGAAGACAAGGAATATAAACTTAAAGCTGTTTGATTGTAATCCTGAAATTCCCAAAATGGAAACTGACCTAAAAATTGAAATTTCAATTGAATCCAATTCTTCTTTTGAAGATGAAAGCTACTGTAGTTAACTATAAATCTTACGAATACAAGTTTTTTTTTTTTTGTTTTTAATAACATATACTAACAAATATTCTTAACAAGTTAGAGAAAGTTGTATATAATTTTTCTATAAAAATTATAATTTTTTTTTTTTTTACCCATGATTACTTTCCTCACATTTTATTTCATTTTCACACATATAATATCCATATTAACTGACTTATGGATTAATAAATAAATGCATTTTGCAAAATTAAAAATACATTTCCCTGGCCTACTGCTATCATTCTTATAACAGACCTTGGGTTAAATAATTAAAAATAGAGAAATATCTCGGTATTAACATAAAAAAACAGTGTGCAGCTGGATTAATGAGTCATGCATGTTCAACCATGTTCAAACATGCTCAACTTTTGCTTTCTTGAGATGAAAACCATAGAAGTCATTTATTGACTAACATTATTCTTTTATACTGTTGGTCAAAAATGAGTGAAAAGATCATATCATATTTTCTGTGAACACAAAGAATACATACCAATGTGGATAAAGAGCAGATGACCTTGGTGAGTTCAGATTGAAATATCAAGTGTTCAACTTATTACAGAAGGCCTGAATATGAATAGAGAAACAATGTGGCAAATTCTAACAGAAGATTTGGTAATGAGAAACATTTCCTCAAAGACAGTGCCTCAAATCTTGACTGATGAGCAAAAATATGCTTCATGTGTTCCACTTGAACTTTTCAATTATGCAAAGATATCTGATAGGGTTATTACTAGTGATAAAATGTATTTTCAGTATAACCTTAAGACCAAATACCAGAACATGCAGTAGAAAAGAAAGAATTCATCTCAGTAGTAGTAATAATAATAATAAAAAATACTTAACACAAAGAGAATCTATTAAATTGACATGTTTATTTAGAAATGCTGACAGGGTTACAAGAATCTGTTTTGAGGAAAATACCCAACTATCCTGACAAGTGGATTGTCTACCATAACAATACCCTTGTGCACAATGAGCAAGGAGTTTATGAGTTCCCAGCTTAGAAATCCATTACAAAATAGAAAAATTACAAAAGTAATCTGTATCAGAAATTTCATCAATACAATAGCATTAAAAATACATTAAAAAATTGATAAGAATAAAAATATCCAAACACTAAAAAATTATTTTAATTACTCATATCATGGTGAGTTAGTCTACCTGAGGCTGTGACTGTGTGTTGTAAATGGAAATGGCCTGTCCTATACAAAAGTTGTTTGTTCAAAAACTATTGGAACCATAAAAAGAGTACCAAGATATTGTAAAGGAAAACCTGAAACCTGCTTTTTGGAAAATGACATTTCACTTTCCAAGTGAAATATTGGCCCAATAACGATATCAATACCTTACATTGGTTTGCCATGAGTTCAATAGAAAATTGGTAGCAAGAACAAAATTAGGACCATTCAAGAAGACTTTCAAAGTTAGAAGAATTAGAGTAGTTTGTTTAGAATGGAACAATATACAGAAAGCAATTTGTAATAGATTAACTACTAAATATAGTAAGCATTTACTTAAAGTTATTGACCACAAAGACTATTAGATGAAGCATATAGATAATTTTTATGCCTCTCTCTTGTTTCTGTTCAATGTATTGAATAAAATGTTTTTGAAATTGGTGAAATTTATAAAATGATGCATAAAATTATCAGTAGAATTAATTTAATTTATCTTAGGCATCAAAGCCTAAGATAAATGAAATTGATTCTACTGATAATTTTATGCATCATTTCATAAACAATGAAGCTTTTTGTGTTTTTTTTTTTATGGGCCACTACACAAATAAATACGTAATGCAGAGAGACAATCTGTCATAAAATGAACAACTGTAAAAAATTGGCTTACCCATCTCTGCCAGGATTGAACTCATCACGACCAGAAAACCTTGTGTTCTCTTCAGGTCCACCTTTTCTTGTTCCCCCAAGCCCACCACCTACCAAGCAAGAAACAGTAGCATTTTAAAGATAACAAGGTTTTAGATAAACAAGCCTAAACATTAAGTTATACATGTACCAAAAATTATCCAATTGCATATCAATAATGAAGATGAACAAATGCTTGGTGGTCAAAAATGTGTCAAATGTTGACTTGTCTTTAACAGTTTTTAAATTCATTAAAATTTACAAAACATTACCATGAATACACAGGTAGGATTTCAAGTAATTTATTTTACCCGATTCAAGAAACACTAAAATAATTTATACAGAACATTAATAGTTACAAAAAATTATAATGAACAGATAATGTAGATACCAAACAGAAAACATGGATACTTACCCAAACGCCGTGGTCTCCACCCTTTCACAGTGCGTCCTCTTTCAACATCAACTAAAACTCTTCGCCCATCAATTTTGCGTCCATCAGCATGTTTGTAGGCAGCTAATAAGATGAAGCAGGAGAGAATGGAACAATTACAATCATTCAGAAGTAAAGACAGTCCCAGTAGCATTTTACATGTTGCTGGGACTGAGCAGAAAGAGAGAATTTAAAAGAGAAAAAAAAAAAAAAGACATGCAGTTGTTGGGAGGTGGGGTGGGTGAGTGTTTTGATTCAAAACAGCTGCAGTGGTGATAACACCCAGATGTATGCAAGACATAAATAAGATAAACTTCATCAATAACGTTAAGAAGAGACTAAAAGGAAGTCAAGAAAGAGGAGAAAGATCTGTATTTAAAGATCCAAGACAGAATTGCAGCCTTCAGTAGGAAAAAAGGTTAATATCCAAATAATAAGGGAGTCTGCAAATTGAAGAAAAAGAAAAAAAAAGAAAAAATTCAATGAACAGAAACTCTCAGAGAAAATGAGAGACTTTTTCCTTAACATAAAACAAACCAACCAATGCAGCTCTGTGACAAAGTGAATGCTTACATATCAGACAAAAATAACACCTATACTTACCAAAGTGAGCAATTCTAGAGCTACTGATCTACTTCCCCAGGAAATCCAGTTTTTGAAGGAAAAAAAAAAAGTAGAAGGAACAGATGCTCACAACAAACAAGTGTGCTAAATTGTTAACTATATTAAAAAAAAATAATAATAAAAAGAAGCCAAAAATACAACCTGGTAGAAGAGACAAACTAATAATTTCTAATCCAAGCAAGCTTATACCTCTTTCAAAATAATAATAAAAAAAAAAAAAAACAGAAGAGAGAGAGCAAACCAGAAAAATAATAACCAAAAATAATAACCATGAGTTAATATTCCAAAGTTAAGAGCCAAAATAATTTTTTTTTTTTTTTTACAAAATACACAAACCTACATTTTGTGAAAAACATGTCAATAAAACCTGGTTGTGACAAAACCAAACCTGTAATTTTAAATTAAGCTTTTTACAAATCAACTTAAGCACAACTAGGATATTTTGTCTGCTGAGAGCAAACTATAAACTATTTTCATGGCTTTTACTGACAGACCAAAGTAAGTGAAGATAAAACTAGTTAGAAAAACAATGACAAGATTTTTGCTATTGTATAGTAAGTCACAAAACTAAAAGATCAAGAAGGAGGGAGAAGGAACAGAGGCCACCACTTAAACATACTTACCTCAGATTGACCACCAAAGATTTAAGAAATAAAAAGCCGATAATTTTTTCTGCACAAGACAACTTACATGCAGTAATTTTTTCTTTCATAAAAAACATTCAGAGAATTAACAGTAATTATAAAAAGGGTTCACTTACGGCACTCTAACATATTTCGATAGAAGAAGGTCCCTTCCCCAAATGGTTTGAGACGTGCAAGAGAAGCTGTCCGCCATTTCCTGCCGTCTACTTCCATAGATATCCGTAGACTGACAACTTACCTGACTTACCTGGATGTCAGCATAAAGAGAAAGACATCTGCATGTACACACACAACTAATCATCAAGCGCACACACTCATATACACACCCACAAACCAATTAGTAGAAGGGGCACAGAACAATTAAACATACACCTAGATACATGCCACTATCAGCCTTTAAAAATAATAATTGGGCAGAGTTAGGAGTATTTCACTAGAATTGGGAGGGGAAAAAATGTTTTTTTAAAAATACAATATATAAAAATTCCTTAAAATTTTCATTTTAATTGACAAGACTTCTTAGCCTAAGAACTATTGGAGTATTCTTCATGTAATGTTACACTTTTACTTATTTTGACTTTCCTTAAAAAGTTAAAGCATTTTCTTTAACCTTTCTTTATACTAAGGTGATATCTACCAGCTGAGGACAGAATACACACATACACACCCACATATATAATCTTTTAGACTTACATGTATACTTTGCCCCTGTCTACATCATACAGGATAGATGTGATTCATTTTATGCGACATCAGATTAATCAGTACAGTTTGAAAACTATCTACATATTCCTTATTTGCAGAATTGCTATTTTCATGACTTTTGTAAATAGCTTTCTTATCGTTCTTTTTCATTTCTCTTCACTTTAATAAAACTGGTTTTATAAACTTTATATAATTAATTTTTTCAACTAAGAAAAGTTTACTGCCATTGATAAAATATTTATTTAAAAAGGTAAATAAAAATAATAATAAAAAAAAAGTTTGGTTGCTCATACTAGTTCTTTTAATTTTAAGGGAAAAAATTTATTGATCAGACAAAAAGTTTTTTTAATTGGTTATCAAATTTACATAAAATTATTCCCTGACAATCCGAGGCATAATGCCTTAAAAAAAAAAAAAAAAAAAAAAAAAAAACTTTTTGGTTTAATTTTTCTTCAATTTATAACATTGAAACATTAGGTTTTATCTATTGAGAGAAAAAAAAATTCCTGCACTTATAAGATATACCTACCTACTGGCAATTTAAAATTAGACTGTACACTCAATCTATAATGTTTGAAATAATCAAACTTTTAAAATGGCAAATCTTAAATCGGATGATGATTGTGTACAATAGATGTGCATTGGCAATGAAACTAGAAGAAAAAAAACAATACAGCTTTCCAAAATATGCTCGTATTTCAATACATCTAGCATGTTGCACACAATCACCTGATTAAGATTGAAGATTTGCAAATGTAAAAGTGACATTAAAGATGAGCATGCCGCCTATCAAATTTGCCAAATAAGACACAAAATACACCTATGCATATAGGTTTCAACTCTTCACATTGTTGTTTTTTGGTTGTTTGTTTGTTTGTTTTTCTTATGTTTTTCTTTTAACCCAAGAGCTTACCCATATACAAACCTATAAACTGGACACCATATTTTTGATCAATCAACTTTGGAATTGTTAGGGCAACATAGTGCGCATGGGCCCACAACGTTCACCGTTCTGTAGGAAAAATAATAGAGAAACAAGTTAGCAGGCGGGGAAGCAAATCGCTCTGCACCAAACCTTGTTACTCAGACACTAATCTTATGGGCAGCTAAAGTAGCATCAGTCAATTCAGGTACAACATTCAAAACTTACCTGAACAAAACTGACAACTAATGAAAGCCAATTTAAAAACATTTCATTAACTAAACTTTCTTGCTATTTTCTCTTTAGAATTGTCCAGCATTTGTCTTCCAACATGTTTACAGCCTTGCTTTTATTTTTATTTGATCTCCTATTAGATTTTTGAAAGTCATTTTAAGATCATAGATAACAAATATAAGCAAAGAGACAAAAAGATTTAAAGAGAAAAAGAGGGAAAAAAAAAAAAAAAACCCAAAACACATTCACATTGATACAGTTATATGAGTATAGGCCTGTTTTACTTACAATAGCATTTTCAACTGCTATAGGTAACTAAATTAGTTAAAATTTAGAATTTATATAAATTAATAAATATATAATTATAAATTATATAAATTAATACTATATTTATTTTCCATGACCTTAAAAAGGTGGGGAAAAGAGGAAAGTTGTAACAATGTACATAAAAAACAAGAGATCAAATAAAAAAAAATATTTTCATGCCTGACACTGAAAAGGTTTGCACAAGGCAGATACAAAACAACTTTAACCAAGAAACAGAACATGTCAGTAAAAGAGAGGAATTACAGCTACTTCAAGATTGGACACCATTTTAAAACCTCATCTCATCCAAGTGATTAGTTTAAGTTCAAATGGGGAAAATAGAGATAGAAGAAAAAGAACACTTCAACAGGAAACAATATCATAATAAAATTAATCATATTTAACAGATTTTGGTATTTACCTACAATTATAAGGTAATCAGTTTTACACACACACAAACAAGTTCACATCCTAATATATTCAAAACAATATTTGTTGATACAATCTTCTATTCTAATGCACCGAATTCAACAGTAAATATTTAACCAGAGATCAAATCATTCGTGTAAAAATTCAACTAATAACTGTGTATCAAACCATAAGCTTATCAATCGTCACACTCACACTTTTTTTTTTTGCTGCTATAGAAAAAAAACAAAAAAAAAAAAAAAAAAAAACAGCAAATCTCAAATAGTAACCACTTTCATAGTTGGTCCCCATTCCCATAATCTTCAAACTACATCTTTGATTTACTCATCAGAAAATTAATTTTTTTTTTTTTAATCCTTAGTCAAGTGTCAGTGGAATTGTCAATATGGGATAATAAATTTTCTAATAAACATTCACACAAAAACAAAATTTTTTTCTGTGTAAAAGGTCACTGCCCTATTTTTGAATCTCCAAATATATAGAATTTTATCTGAAGTAAATGATAAAAGACCCTTTCTGAAGACTTGAACTTGTATGCCTGGATCTGATGGTAAAGAAAAATTCAAAGATATGGAAATTAAAAATGATAATTAAAACATATCATTCATTTATTATACTTGATTTCACATTAGAAAAATGTTCTACTTATTTACATTTGCATATAAAACAAACTGTCTTTATCTCCAATACAAACACATATAGTGTAGGAGTGTTGATATTCAAGCAATAAGGAAGCAAACTGAAGCTCCTGAAAGTTATATATATTCTGGAGAAAAGAACTAGTTTGACCTTAAAAACAAGCACCAGTGATTTATATTTTGAACAAATCTATATCTAAGAGTTTTGACATCACTTTTTAACCTTATAAAGAGCGTCTTAACTTTATTCTAACATCTGGTGATTCGAAGTTAAAAAAAAAAAAAAAAAAAATTACAACCATGTTAGCATCTTGTACTAAGCTGTATAAAAAGGAAGAATGAACTGTTAGCACTTTACAATGTTTTGAATAATTCTTGTTACAAGCATATATTTCAGTATCAAGGATAGTAAACTACAACAGTGTGCTAAAAAGTTGCTACAGTAGTTTTAATAAGCCTATCTGTACCAAGAGTATATAACAAAGATTTTATAGTACTAATATAAAAGTTTAAAGAAAAGAAAAGGCTAATCAAAGATTAAACAAATCCTGAATAATCTAGGGTCAAGATGTTGAAATATAAATAGTTCAATATCAGGTGTCAAATTACATTTAGTAAACAAAATTATTTACATTTTTTTTAATGTACAAAATCCTTTTAAAAAATAATTGTTTTCAGAAAAAAGGGTTCACTTTAGTTCTTGAAAGTGGTATCAATATTAATGAACCAAATCCTTGGAAAAAAACTCTTTAAATGAGTTCTTGATTAAAAATGCTTAAAAGTAGAGGAATAAAAAATAAAATAATAATCAACAAGAATATTTAGATTGCATTAATCAATATTTTACCTATATTTACAAACAGAATAAACTATTACATTTATTCTACTTTAACTAGAATCAGATTTTAAAATACCAATTTATAGATAATACTGTGAGAGATTAATGAATACTGATTAATGTAAACATTATTAAAATCTTCATTATATGACTGAAAAAATCTAACAAACAATAGGTTAAAATGATAGCATTTACAATACATTAGATTCTGTCTGAAAAAGTTTTGCAAATTATGAAGAATTTACATGTATCAAGAACAACCTACTGCATCACAATGAGAATAAGGATTTAAATTTTAGTAAAAAAAAAAAAAAAAAAAAAAATGAAGATGACATTCTTGAGTAAGTGATTAAACAGCAAGTAAAGAAACTCACAGATTAATTAGAATGCAAGATGATAATGAAAATTTTCACTAAAATATTTAGGCTAATTCTCTCATACAATCAATTAAGAGAACACTTGATAAATACTTCAAACAGTATTTGTGTATTGTTAAAGCTGTAATGTAAAAAAAAAAAAAAAAAAAAAAAAAAAAAAAAAAAATGAAATTTACTTTATATTCCCTTTGTATAGAAAAAACTGAATCCATTTATTTTTTTTTTCTAAGGAAGCTATCTAATTGGGTGAAAATTTCTGTAAAGTAATTGTCTATAAAAAAACAAAATCTACTGTAGTTCAAAACCTACTAAATAAGGAATAGCAATGAAGAATTTTTCAGAATAAAATAGTTGCAAAGGTAATGAGTGGGCAACCTGTATTCTCCACACTTATTATAATTTGCTTTAATATGTAAAATTTAAATAAGTAAATGGCATGTCACAAAATTACAAGATTTGTTCATTATAACTTGCAGTAATTCATATAGCAATACAACCTTTAAGAGCCAACCTTTAGAATTTCTTTAAGTATGGATTGAAGAGTTGGCTGTTACTTTAAAATCTCAAAATATCTTAAATGTTAATACTTCTTAAATTATAAATTATTACAGATTAACAGTTTCTAGCCATTTTCTGTCATGATATTTTGGTAAGTCTTAGTTTTAAAATATTGACTGTTACTTAGGGAAAAATGAAAGGAGAGGGAAATACCATTAATACTCCAATGGTATACACATCTTGTTTTTAAAAACAATTTGGAGCTTAAACCTGCCAATTTCAAATACGCTTATCTCCATCCCATGTAAATGCCATCTGTGTGAAGTATTATTAAAGGCTAATTTGAACTATACCCAGTTTTAAAAAAGACAAATATAGACAAAAAAATGAGAATTACATTGTAAATTTAAAAAAGCAACCCAGAGAAACAAGATGGATAAAAAAAAAAAAAAAAAAAAAAAAAACTAGAGGAAAGTTAAACTAATTAACTGATATTAAAATAGACAAGTTTAGTTGAATATGAAGCAAACACACAGGGATGCCGTGAATATCTAATAGCAAAGGAGACCTTTTTCTTTTCTTTTTCCAATTTAAGAAATATTAAGCCAATTCAGTGTCAAGCAAATTGTAAGCAAGGCTTTTATTATTAAAAGTAAAAAAAAAAAATTTTAAAAAATCATTACCTGACCAAGTGCAGGAAGAAAGATATAATGCTGTTAGCTTTCATGTTTTAATAAATACAGATAGAAAAAAAATGCACGGAAAAGTCCTATAACTTCAAATATCAGAAATATTTTTCATTGATATAATTAGATATGAGAATGTTATACTAACTACACAGGATAGACAATAAGAAATACTTAGCATTTGAAAAGAACAGTTCAAAATGGAATTACCTGTATAACATTGTATTTTTTAACGCTTTTTTCTTTCTTGCAATTACCTTTGTATCCTGAACTGTTGTTGTGAAAATGCGCACCTTACCTTACATTGTATGCGTTCAACCCAAAACTTTGATTTCTGCATGTTTTGTTGTCATTGATCAAATATTTTAATTAAAAAATAAAATGAAATAAATAAATAAAAACCCTCCCTCACAAAAACAATGCATTTCAAGTTTGTTTTTTTAAAAAACTTTTTGTACTCTTTCTTTCCTTAGAGAGGAAAATTTTCAAGATTAGAATCTGGAAAATATTTATTATGCACACACACACACACAAACACATAATGGTACCCATTAATAAGAATATAAAAACATGAAGAAAAGCTGGCCAAAAAAAACAAATAGCAACCAATTACATTAGTATTAAAAAAAAAAAAAACAAAAAAAAAAAAAAAAAAAAAAAAAAAACAGAAAGTCAGCTTATTTGTTTTTCCTTTTACAGGGCAGTAAACAATTTTGTGTAAACTTGAATTTTGACCAAATATTAAAATTATACCTGAACAAACAGTCATTTTATTAAAAGTTACTTCATTAGAAGCAATGAAAAATTCATTACTATATACAAATAAAGGATAAAAGACATTAATTCTAATACAAGAATCACTAAAAATTGAAACCTACTACTAATACCACCAACAACTATACTAATGTTTGATGTTTTAGACAATGAGTAATCATCCATAATATTTTCCTTTGGTAAAAGGCCAGATGTAATAAGACAAACTATTTTTTTCTTTTTTATAACCCTGGTGAGTCATCATTAAAGAGTAGATAATGGATCAAAGCTTTAAAATAAATTAATGTAAAGTGAGGAAACTAAGATTTTCTAAAATAGACTTAAATTTTAATAAATCTTTGGTTTACTTGGGAGGAAAGAAATGTTTCATATTGGATTGCATTTTTTTTTTCAAATTAACATATTTAGAGTAATTCCAAGCAACCAATCTATATATTTAAAAAAAAAAAAAAAAAAAAAAAAAAACAATACTGCTAATGTAGTGAAGTGTACAGAGATTGTAAGGCACCAACTTACAGTGCATATCTCTTTCATGTTCATATTCAATGAAGGCATATCCACGCATCTTTCCACTCTTGTTGTCATTAATCATCCGAATCTGTAAAAGAACAAAGCAAATCAAGTTAAAAATGTCACTGTAAAAAAGCAAACAGAATGCTTATGTGCATACTATATCAGTGTTTCATTGATAGATTACCAAATTAACTAATTTATCCCTAGAGAAGTGCACTATCAAACAAATGATCTAGATTTCAAATCAGACATTTGTATTGCCAATTTGTAAATAAGTGCTACTACTTTGTACAGAAGTATTACATAAGGTTTATAATCTATAATTTATAGAGAAACATAAAAGAAAAGGTATATGACAAAACTAACAAGAGAATCTCACCAACTCAACACCATAAAATGAAATGTAACTCTTAAAATCAACTAAATGTTATAATCAAATATAATAGTGATTAACAGATATCTACAATTTTGTAGATAAGTAAAGCTTTCAATTCATTTCACTTGCATTCCATGTTATAGCAAAATATTTAAATCTTATCACCAATTCAGAAAAAAAAGAAAAATAATAAATAAATTAAAATAATTTTTTTTACACATAGTTATAGGATGCAAGAGATAGTAAAAATATTCAAATCAAGTGTTTGGTTAAACTAATTCAAATGATTTTCAACAGTTGATTTGAATATTTTGACTTTCCCACATCCTATAATATCAATAATTCTCAAGTAAGGTTTTCATTGCTATCAATTGTATTGTTCAGCAAGAAATCTCCAGCACCAAACTACACAAACCACTTTTGACATATTCCATCATTTACAGTACTTTCTTTTCCTAATGCCATTAGAAAGACAAAAACAAACTTTTTTGTCAACTAGACACTAAAAAAAGGAAGATTTAGCAAAACAAAAAAGAATTTTTTCTTCTAATAACATTAGGGTTTTGATTTTATATGGTAGGCTTAAATGATATAGTAATAGAAGTTAAGTTTATAGCAGTTCAATCTTTATAGATTGTCACATATTCATTTACAGTAAAAAATAAAATCAACTTCAAATTTCAATTTCTACAGCAGTTAATGAAAAACTAAAACTTCAAAGAAATATGATATATAAATAACAAATTCATATAAAATATTAAAAAAAAACAAAACAAAAAAAACCTGTTCAAATGGAGCCACTGTAGTTTGATATTTAGCCTACCTGTGTTAAAATGCACTGATGAATAGTTCTCAATAAGTGTTACTTGAAGGAATTTTTTTAAGTCATTCCAAAAAGTAATATGTCAAATATCAAATGTATAGAGAATTTGGTTCAGATATTTTGTTACAGTGATAATACAATTATGCAATCACATGACAAATACACCTACTAAAAATTCTAATTTAAAACCATTTGGCAATTTAGTAAATTTACAAATTATTTTCAAGAATAAAAGAGAAATGGGAATATAAATTATATAAAACTTGCAGAAAAATTTAAACTAAAATTTACCAACAATCAAATTATGTAAAATCAAATGCAGAACAAAAAAATATAATGTCAGCTATTAATACACAACTATTTTTCAGGAAAAGAGCATCAAACTTGCTTCATGTAAAAAGGATCCCTAACATAGTTGGCATATACTTATTTACTGTTTACAATATCTTGAAGACTATAGGCATGGGCATTTGCATCCAGATAAAGCTTGGTAATGGCAGTGTCAACAAGAAGTGCAATCAGACGACACAAAACACCAAAATTGCAATGGACCTAAAACTACAGGTAAGATGAACTAAAAGTGGATCCAACAGACCAGAACAACAACCATTCATGATAAACTGGGCCTTAAATCAAGGAACCAAGGAACCTTCTCAAAGAGTCTATGAATACCAAGAAGTTGGAAAGGTGCAAAAAAGTGCTTGGTTAATTCAAGAATCATAAGTTCATGGTATAGAATTTTTCTAATTATTTCATTCACTAGTTTTCAACTTAATTTTTTATCAAAGACAACTTCAAATCTTATGGTCAGCTCACCAAATTGACGTGCATCCTTTTTCTTTAAGATGAAATTATTTTGATGTGTAAGGATATAACAAATTTGAAAAACACCACTATGAAATTGCCATCTTTGAAATAGTGACATAATTTAAAGTGTGGTTAAATAAAACTATTCACATATAAGAAAGAATTGTATCTTTAGAAAGAGAAAAAAATCAAATTTGTCAAAATAACCTTGAAAATAAACAAGATAAATATGAACAAAAATATATAAAATTTTACATGTCACAGATAAAAGACATAGAACTACTACACCCTTGTGCAAATTAATTAAAAGAACCATTTTAGTTTCCTTTCTTTCACCATACGGTAAATTTTAGACCTGCTAGAGTGACAGGGTGCAATCAATTTCTACTTTTTCCTCAGATTAGGTCATTTGCAGTGGTGTCCAGTAATATGAATCTAGTTTTGGGGTGTATGATGAAATTTTATTGGCCTCAAGAAATATTGTGTCATCCACGATTGCATCAAATTATTATGCCCAGTCACTATTGTCTCAACCGTCGATTAGTTGTCCTGTGACCATTGTCTGCAATGGACGTTACTCCAAGGAAGTGTACAAAAATTGTCACACTGCATGAACATACTGGCAAGGCTTACCAGTGAGCAAATCAAAGTACTATATACTGGCCTGGAAACTCTCCAGATTTAAATCCAATCAAGAATCTGGTCAATCCACAAGGAACGATTTTGTGGAATGGACATACAATGTACGAATATATACACTGGGTCATATTTCATTAGAAAAATATGAAAAAAGTAAATAATAATGGAATTATTTGTTTTAATTAATTTGCACAACAGTGGAAGTATAAATCTTACTTATTATAAAACGCAGATTGTGTGTGTGTGTGTGTGTGTGTGTGTGTGTGTGTCTGTTTTTATATATTGGATCGGATTTCCTACATTTTTCAACCGATTTCAACAAAACTTCACAGGACTACATAAAATTACCTTGTGGTGGTTCTAACAGCGCCAAAAATGGGAAAAATATAATTGTTTTTGCACAAAATCAATTTGAAAACACAATTAAGAGATATCATGAAAATGGAAGGGGGACAACTCACATTGGGTTGTTTGTGTGTGTGGGTTACTTTTTTTTTTTTTTGGGCATGTAGTGTTTCTTATTCTCTTTTTTCTTTATTTTTAACATTCAGAATGCTTTAAAAATTCCATTTACAAGACAATTATTAATAATAAAATTCTATTCAATTGGGAGACTCATAACGATTGAAAACAATGTTTTTGTTTGAGTTTGGGTTTGACCAATTCCTAAAAAAAAAAAAAAAAAAGAAGAAGAAGAAAAAAAAAAGAATTAAGACATGCATGTCCGTCAACCTTAAACAATGATCTAACGATCCCTACTGATTGTACGAATACAAACACCGGATAAATTCTTTATCTTTAGGGAAAGATAATGAAATCTAAACATACACAAGTCCTAACTAAAAATAATAACCGGAATGGGAAACTACTTTAAATACACATGGTGTCCAATTTTTTTACTGTATTCAATCAGTAAAAATCATAAATTGTTGTAAAAGATAATTATTACAGAAAGGCTACTAAATGAATAAGATTTGTTAGATCATAATTAATAAACCCAAATAAAGTTAATATTTTTTGTATTAGAAACAACGAGTGGAAAATATATTCAAATCAGAATTCTAATTATGAATCACCACAAGCAAAATATGCAATTTTTTTTACTGTATTCAATAAGTAAAAATCATAAATTGTAAAACTAAAAGATTACACAAAGGCTACCTAAATTTTTCAACCGATTTCAACAAAACTTCCCTTTTTTTTTGGCATGTAGTGTTTTTTATTGACTTGCACACTTTTTTCTTTATTTTTACATTCAGAATGATTTAAAAATTCCATTTACAAGACAATTGTTTATAGAATTATTCTATTCAATCGGGAGACTCATAACGATTGAAAACAATGTTTTTGTTTGAGTTTGACCAATTCGTAAAAAAAAAAAAAAATAATTAAGACATGCGTGTCCGTCAACCTTAAACAATAATCTTTGTCAATTTTATTTTTCAGTCTTTATGATGGTGGATACTTGATCTATCTCTTACTGTTATATATTTTTCAAATATTTATTCTTATTTCACATTACAAAGAGCATCAATTTCTTTTCAAAATATTTTAAACAAATGTTGACACTGAGTTCTAACAGCAAAAATTAGGTTTAAATATATTTCTAATATTGTGATAATTAGAAGAAATTAAAAGGTGAATGACAAATAAATAAATATAGGCTTTTTGCAATTAGAAAATCTTTGAATAGTAAAATTAAGCTTAAATTAATGCCTTCAAGTGGTAAGTTTCTCCAATTCAAAAGGGGTAATTTGAGAAAGAATATCATCAAAACTCAAATCCCCAGAAGCAAAAAAGAGAGAGAGAGAAAGAGAAAGAAAAAAAAAAAAGAAAAAAAAGAAAAGTTTTTCATTTGCATAAATGCACAACACTTTTTTTTTTAATTTTTTTTTTTATTTTTATTTTTTATTTTATCGTATTCATAAAAATGTTATTGCTAATGGTATTTTTTTTTTTTTACCCACACAGGAGATCACAAATTTAAAATAACAAAGAAATGGATTTTTAAAACAAACGGTAATGTTGATTATATGTCACTTGTAGATCACTTAACAAGCGATGATAAATCTGTTAAAACATAATTAAGTATTCAGTAATCTTTGGAATCTAATCTAATTTTAGGAATGTTGAATTTAAATTTACTATTTTTAGTCATTACCTTATTTTCTATATTTTTGTACTGGTCTACCATACTTTCAAATAAAAAATTTTCACAAATTATATATATATATATATATATATATATATATATATATATATATATATATATATATATATATATATATAATAAAAATAATTTTTTTTTTTTTTTATTGGGGATAAATGGCTTATTGAACATTTCAATTTTTGATTTGTAAATATAGTTTTCACTTAGCCAGATTGAAGTAATGCAGAAGTTTAAATGAATTATAAGATTTTAAATTATTTTATAAGAATTTATTCATTTGGAGGCAAACACTGGAGGGGGAAAAAAAAAAGAAAAAAAAAGGGAGCTAAGTTGGAATAATGCAACTTACCCTTCTGATGGGACCAAAAACTTCAAATTCTCGACGTAGCTTCGATTCACTTGTGTCATAATTCTAAATTTATAAGGGGGGAAAAAAAAGAAAAGAAAAAGAAAAAAGAAATTAACAAAAAGGTAAAAAAAAATATGATTAAAATTTAACCCTTAAACTTAAAAGGGTTTTAGAAGAAAATAAATATTTCTATTTAAAGTACACGATTAAGCAACAACGTTTTTTAAAAAGATCTCAAAGACACGCAACTTTAAATTTTTTGATTCATGCTGAAAGAAAAAAAAATCTCTAATTTCTAAACATGATATCTACTCACTTCTTTGAAGCAAATGAGAGTTGAGATCAGATCTGATTAAAAATGTTTCAGATCAGCTAATGTACAATCAGAGAAAGACTTCAGTATGTAATAAATTCATTTTTGTAAGATTTTTCTCTGGTTATATATGTACATCTAGAATGTGAAAAAGAAAAATGGAAAAGGTAGACATACAGTAAAATTAGCTTTCCTGGGTATCCCACTAGTATGACCCTGTACTAGACTAAACTATTAACATAAATAACTAGTATACCTCATTATGATGTGATATGGTGTTAAACCAAGCAAGGTTAAACACCATATCACATCATAATGAAGTGAGTACAATTCTCACGGAGACCAAACTTGTGTACATTTGGCCACAGGCTAACAATGTCTGTGAAAGAGACCAAACAGAGTGCTAGCTATGAAAAGAAAATATAAGTGCCAGCACAATAAAGCCATTTCGATTTTCAACTCTTTACAAAAAAAAAAAAAGGATTCAATTTGAAACCTCAATTTTTAAAAAGTAGCATGTTTTTTTTTTAAAGTACAGGTATTTAAAAAAAAAAAAAAAAATACTATTATATAGTAATGCATATATAGCTAAATTAAAAGAAAACCAATGAAAATAAGCAAAATTATTCAAAAGCTAACATTGCATCTTCAATCATGTATGTGCACATATTTACTAGCCTTCAAAATGAAAAATACATAAAGAAAAAAGTAATTCTAGTAAATGAAAGAATAATAGAAAGGATTTATCTATTCTGACAAGAGAAATTCATCTTACATAAAAAAGAAACATTCAGTAAGCTAAAAAGAAAGAAAGAAAAAAAAAAAAGAACCAACACTTTTTTTTCTTTAATATCCTATTTGTGATTTAAATGAGATAAAACAAAATATATCAGTTATCCTCTAATACACTCAAATGAAAATATAAAATACAAGATGTAATATCAGTGTGCACATATGTGAATGCATACATGCATTATCTCAATATAATCAGTTATATTTTACATATAATGTTGTACAAGCAGTTTATCAATAGCAGCATCCACTGCTGCAGCAGCAGGTGCAATAGTAACTACTACTACTTTTCAATCCTATTCTTCTTCCTATGCCACAATATAGTACACTACATGTGATGCCATACAGTAGTAAGATAGCTGGTGCTGAAATGAAAAATCTCAAATCTAAACTGTTTAGCCAAGCAGAAATGTACACACATTTGCTACTGTTGCTTGACAGTGAGTAACAGAAGAATCATTCCCATCCCTATCATTTTACAACTGCAGATATTTTCCATAAAGAGTAAAAGCAAAAACTCAGAATTATAGAAAAAAAACTCATACACATAATACATGAAGATGATGCCTCAATTTAAGTTAAAAAAAAAAAAAAAAAAAAAAAAAAAAAAAATCTGCAGTCACAAAGTAAACAGTCAAAATTAAATAGCATAATATAAATTCATTAATAATCACTCAGCATAAAATGTCTTTTTTCACTTTCACATAGGCACATGTGGATATCTTACCTGAGGATTAAAAGGGGCATACAACCAAGTGTTTTAATCATTACAAAATGACAAAAGTTTTCTAATGGAGGTATACAATACAAGGAAAGCTGATTTAGGCGTAACATAAGTGCCAGTGTTGTTTTTGTTTTTAATTTCCTATGTATATAAAAAGAAGGAGGCCAATGGAATAGATGTCTCTGAACAACTGAACAGATGGTTGAGACAAGCCAAGCCAATGCTAGGAAGGTAGCATTTCAACAAAGGACATTAATTAGATGCTTGACCAGACCATTCAATTGTGTGTCCAAAATTAAAAAAAAAGAAAAAAAAAAAAAGATGCAGTCATGTGAAAAATATCTATATTCCAATTATATCAATTAGCCATGTAATCTTCAAGTACCACCTCATCCTCACACAAATATCTCTTCTCTCCTCCCCTCTCCTTCCTGGCCAAAAACTTCTCTCCCTTCACGAGATTCATAATACCCCTCTTTTTTTATTATTACTATTAATTTTTTTATTAAAATGTTTAATAACTACTTCATCTTTATGTACTTGTATAAAAATTTTTAGTGAATTGGTTTGGGAGAACTGACTCATGTCAATACACAGAGCTCTGCCATTGACTTCAAATGCAAACCACCACAACCACCAATACTACCAGGATCTAGCAATGAGGTGATGGCGACCGCAACCCCACTACTGCAACACACTGTACAGATAGACCAGTGCTACTAGCACTATGATTCCCTACAGTCATACAGGGGTAGGTGATATTTTTTCTCCCACTTTTTTTCTCCCCCCTACCTAGATAAACTGAGCTGATTTTTTTTTTTTTCAAATCATTTTCCTCACCTATAGAATTACCCCCCCATAAAATTTTTTAAAAAAATAGGTGGATTGTAACCAGTTACCATGCCAACCAACAGAGGTGATTGATATTCTTCAGACAATGAATGAAAACCACACCAGTCATGTGCATGTGTGAACTAATACCAATTTAATTAAGACGTGTTGGAACTTATAATAAAACACAGAAAGGGAATAGCTACAAAGGGTAACAATTCAAGATTAATCTGTTATTGGTTCAATCTAAGCCAGTGAGTGAGTCATTTATTTCCAAACATATTTTTGACAACTATCTAGTTAAAAGGTAGAGATAGTACCTATAATCTGTCAAGTTAATTTTGTTATTTTCACATAAGCAATTCTAGAGAATTGCCTAGCAACCTGCCATCAGTTTTTTTCCTAAAAACTACAACTAATTTATGTGGTCAGAATGTGACAAACAACTTTAATGTCGACTTCAACCAGTATCCAAAACCACCTAAACTTGGTTTGAAACCCAATAATATGAAGGATTTGCAACATGGCAATAAAAATCACAAGAGAGATACAGAAAAAAAAAAAAAAAAAAAAAAAAAAAAAAAAAAAAAGAGGATTGTGCTGTTCTAAAACATATGCATGAGAGCTTCAGAATAACATTTATTAGCAGCAAAAACTGAAGCAAATGTAGAATTTACAAAAATTCACAATACTTCCTGTATACTGAATCAAAACTTCACAAGAAAGGTATATCCTCATAATAAAAAGAAAACAAACAGAAGCCAAACATTTTTTCTTTTTAAATTTTTAAAGTGGAAAAAAAATAAAAAAATTAAAAAAAAATAATAATTAAATTTACATTTAACCAAAATATTTCACAATACAACTTGGTGCAACTGGAGTACAATAAAATTTGACAAAGGATTTATCAGTAGAAAACGAAGCCAAAGGAACTTGTACCCAGTGAGAATAAAATTCTACACACAAAAGAAAAAAGAGAGAGAGAGAGAGAGAGAGAGAGAGAAAAAAACCTATGCATACATATTTTTTTTAATAAAAAGACAAAAAAAAACAAAACAAAAAAAAAAAAAAAAAAAAGAAAAAGAAAAGAAAAAGAGAGACAAAAAAAAAAAAAAAAAAAAAAAACAACAAAAAAAAAAAAAAAATCTTTCACCAATCCAAATTTTTTAAATTTCCACAAGAGTACAAATACAAATTTTATATTTTGGATTTTGTATGCTTAATAAAAATGTGAAACTTCTATTTTGTTAAACTTCCTATTAAAAGATGATTTAACAATGAGAAAAAAAAAATGGGTGAGAGAGAGAAAGAAAGAAAGAAAGAAATGTAATTACTTTAAATATCAGTGCAAAAGAAACAAATGAGTAAAAACAAGAGAGTGTGAAATAAATAAAATCCAGCCGGGGGGGGGGGGTGGCATTGCAGTTCTATAAAAAAAATAAAAGAAAATAATTTTTTTTTTTTTTTTTTTAAATAAACATAGCAATATAATCTCATTCTCACTTCTATTCTAATAAGCCACAAGAGATTACACATTTTAAGTGATCAAGCCAAATGTCATATAAAAGATGTTTTAAAATTCTATTAAGGTTGTATATTTTTAAGGAGAAATATTGTTTTTCTCAATCTGACCTAACATTTAACTTTTGTTTTTTTTTTCCCTTCCATTCATGAATGAGTAAAAAATATACAATTAACCTTTCACAGGACAAAGGAATAAAAATAAAGATTACAATTATCAATTTTAATAAGACATATATTGAACTTTTAGCACAATAAAATTAGAAGTTGATATCACTACAAAAACAAACCATCCCTCTGTGTGTTTTTTTTTCAGTAAGGATTGCTAGGTGATTAACTGACTACTCAAATGGAAAGAACAATAAAACTACCATATTTGATGGCAGATACCCCCAGTGAAAAAAAAAAAAAAAATCTTCAGGTTTTATCTAGTTATTTGGTATATTAATGTTTACCCAGCTGTTGTAGAGTACCAGTACTTGCATGGCAAGTTTCCTAATTCTACAATACAGTAATATTAACTGTAATTGTTTCTCTTTTTCATGTGTGTAAGGAGGGCATATACAATCAAATATAGAGTTTTAGCAGACATACTTGTATTATAATTCTTAAAAAAAAAAAAAAAAAAAAAAATTTTCATTTAAAACAAGAATTTTTGTACATGACTTCTGAACTAAAATGGATGAGTAATATTACAGTCGAGTTTATTTTGTATTTGAACATCAATAAATACTGATCATTTCAAAGTCAGCAATATAAGATTATGCCATAATCAAGCAGGTTATTAAGTACAAAAAATGCATATGTATAGTTAATTACAAGTTTAAAATAGGGGTTAAATCCAATAGAATGAACAAGCAAGAAATCTTTATAATCTTGACA